ATTATAAATGATATTAAAATCACTGATAAATGAGAAATGTGTTGAACCTGACTCATGACGCCACCTAGTGTCCCATGCTGCTTCTGTCCCAGTGGCTGGTCTCAGGACGACCTTGGTCTGGACCGTTAGTAAAGAAGTGTCCTCTTCATGTGAGACATGTTAGTTTCAGTCACTGTCCAGCACAGACCTCAGGCTCCTCACCAGAGTGAGACGGTCTGTGGACGTGGGACAGTGAGTCAAACATCTGCTGAAGGTCTCTCATGTAGTGTTGAATCAGTGAATCGTGGTGAAAAAGACAATGTCCTGTGAATTTCAGAGACGTGAAGTCGGTTCTGTTTGTTCCTTACGCTCTGCACGACAGAGACGCCTACACCAGAACTGCCCGAGACAAGTTCAAGACTCTGGGTGAGTTCGTCCTGTCCATGGCTGTTTGAATATCAGTGCTGCTGCAGAGACAAAACCAGTTCTGTCCTCTGCAGGTTATGAGCTGGACAGTATCCATGAGGCCGCAGACCCAGTGGAGGCCGTCAGGAGGGCTCAGGGCTTTTTCATCGGTGAGGAGACAGTGTCCACTTCCTCCTTTCCTCCTGTTTGGTCTCCTCTGGCCTTGCTTCCTATCATTCCTCCTTCCTGCCTATGCTTCCTCCCACTGTGTCCTCACTGTCTCCTTCTCTACCTTGTTCCCTCCTCACTCCTTGACTCTGGGTCCTGTCGTGTCTTCAGGAGGAGGGAACACGTTCCGGCTGCTGAAGAGTCTCTATGACAACAAGGTGGTGTCGGAGATCAGGAGACGAGTGTTGGAGGTGAGGCCGACGTCAGAAACACAGAATGTGGAGGAGAAGTTAGAAACCAGATTCTTTAGAAACCAGATTCTTTAGAAACCGGTTTCTAAAGAATCTGGTTTCTTTAGAAACTGGTTGAAGTGGAGTTTCACTTTCTGTTTCCAGCAGAGATCCAATCCAACATTTCATTTCCTGAACAAGAACCAGGCCAAGACGTTGTTTTTAAGGGTTAGAGTCTGTCCTGTCCTTCTTCTGTCCTTCTTCTGTCCTTCGTCCTCTCATTGTAACCCCTCCTCCCCTCAGGATGGCGTCCCCTACATGGGCTCCAGTGCCGGCACCAACGTGGCCACCGTCAGCATCAGCACCACCAATGACATGCCCATCGTTTTCCCTCCATCCTTCTCCGCCCTCGGCCTCGTTCCTTTCAACATCAACCCTCACTACCTGGACCCCGACCTCGGCAGCCGCCACATGGGGGTGAGTCCGAGCCGCTGGGCAGCGTTCACCGAAATACATCTGTTACTAGAACATGAGAGAAAAACGAGTTCCTCTTTAAAGGGAAAGACGTCATGTTCTCTAGAAACTACTGGTGGCCCCCTGCTGGTCATTACACAGAAGACAGGGTTCAGGCACTTCCTCTGTGGCTTCACTTTCTGAACCTGAGTCAACACATTTTTTTATAAACTTAAATTATAAATAATTTGAACTGTGAATTGTTACTAATATAAAACCTCATTTTGTCAGAACATATTTTTTTCATGTCTCATATTTAATTCGTAGTTTCCACAGGAAATGATGCAGTTGGACATTTGTCCTCAGAAGAGATATCAGGACTCACAGAGTAGGATCTTTGTCTCAGAGGACAAACCTTTGACTCTGGTCACAGTTACATCGTCTCTGTATCAACTTGGCTTCACTTCATTCATTCTAACTTTTATTGTCATGGTTTTATTCGAAACAACAAAGTGAACGACAGTCGGCTCCGTGTCTCCGGCTGTAAACGGCTGATAGAGACACGGGGATGGACTCTGCTCTCAGTCTTATCTGGATGTGATAAAGATCTGCCTGCTTAGCTTTAGACCTTCAGACTCGTCAGTTCAGTCTGAAGCTGAACTTCAGGTGTGAACGGTTCCTCAGACCAGAAGAGGATTCTGGGTCTGGATCACACTGAACCTGGTTCTGTTGGTTCACAGTGAAAACACTTGTTTGGACAGTTTGGACCAATCACAGGAAGTAGAGACACATTAAACCATAGAAGAAGAAGAGGAAAAGGAGGTATAGGTATAGGACGAATGACGTCGTGCGTCAGACAAAATTCTTTAAAAATAGATCTCAATAGATTTAACCCTGAATCGAACCTTGATGAAAAGTTGTTGGACCGTGAATGTTAAAATACATTTCAATACAAAGATGGTTTCTGTTGATTCTGGGTTTCGTGTTTGTCTTGAACAGGAAACCCGAGAGCAGCGGATCACTCAGTACCACGAAGAACCCGACACACCACCAGTCCTGGTGAGACGTTAGAGTCCAGATGAACCAGACTCACACATCTTGTTAACTCACAGTTCAACTGATCGTTCGTCTCATTCCTGTGATTTCTCAAACGTTCACTTCAACTTAATGAGATCAAGTTGGTCAAAGGTCACAGAACCCCCCGGTTCTCCACAGTCCTGTCATCAGACCTGTTCACTGAAGGATTGAATCTGTTGTTTGTATTTAATGCGAGGCCTCGTCCTTCCTCCGGCATCACATGACTTTCTAACAGCGGCCGAGCAGAGGAGCGCCTGAGTCATGTCGGACTTTGTGTTTTAGGGTCTGAGAGAAGGATCCATGCTGCTGGTGGAGGGAAACAAAGCCACACTACTGGGAACCACCAAGGCCAAACTGTTCAGCAGGTAAATATCAGGTCCTCACTGCTCACACATGAACCACGTGATGGGAGCAGTGAGGAAACAGGATTACATTCACACAGAGATCCAAACTGGAATAATCCAAACTTACAGGAGATCAAGTCCACTGAGCAGGAAACAAACGAACCAAGAGGACGAGTCAGGTCCGGTCAGATACGAGGGACACGGGGGACACGAGGGACACGAGTTAAAGTAGAGCAAGAGATCTGTGTCTGAAATCACCTGAACACTTCTTTATAGACCAAGATGAACTGAGCTCAGCAGCAGGAACTCTTCGCTGGTGATGATGTAACAGTTGCAGGACGTCTGCAGGGCATGATGGTATAAACCGCTCAGGTAGTGGTTATTGGTTGTACACTACTTTTCACAATGCATTATGGGAAACAAGTCAATTTTATAGAGGGAGAACAGGGGCCCATCCTCATTGTTCGGGGGTTTAGTGTCGTGCTTATGGGCCCTTTGACGCTCTGGAACAGCCAACGTGACCCTAAACGCAGACCAGTGGCACCAGTGACCCCTGTGATTTGATTGGTTGTTTCAGGGGACGGCCCTCGGTGGAGTGGGACCCCGGCAGTGACCTGAGCTTCCTGCTGACGGACGGCGGCACCTCGTCCTCCTGATTCCACTGATGACCCGACTCTTCTTCACTGATCGTGGAATCAGAAGAAACGTTGTAAAGAAGCATCGTTGAATGTGTTGATTAAAGTTTGACGTGACGGCTGCTGCCATGTTTTTATCACAGCGGTTTAACAGTATTCACTCATGTAGATCACCCCCTGGTGGCTGGCTGCAGTATAGGTCATAAACCCCCCTCCTCCACGTTAGCAGACTCTGTTTCTGAAGTTTGGTTTTAATAACTCATTCAATGACTGATCACCACCACAAGATGGCAGAGTTCATGTCGGAGATATGACGTTGATCAACTTTAATTATAAACAGATTTATTTAGCCTGAAGCTCTGAAGTAGAGCAACCATCAGCCACCTCTTCTTCAGCTCCCACTGCAGCCGGCCACCAGGGGGCGAGTCTGTGAACCATCGAGTTCAAGAAGCAACGTTAACAAGACGAGACGCAACACTGAGCCAAACGTGAGCAAATCAGTTTATTTCATTCTAACGGTGAAATCATCTCAGTATCAAAGTTATTTTAGTTTCTAGGTGAAAGAACAAAAAACATGTTGTCACAGCAGAAAGGAAGGGTGGAGTTAAATACAAGAGTTCAAAGAGAAACCCGCAGATCAAAGTCACAGATCAGTGATCAAAAGCCTGAAGCTGAATCTTTAGTAAAAACTCAGAATGAATTCAGCTGCGTCTCCAATCAACAGAGTCAATTCAGTCACGTCCACCTGACAGACTGGTGGATAGAGCGCCACCACATGGACACAAATGCACAGAGCAGCGAGTCCCGAAAATCAAATAAGGCAGAAAAATATTGGAAAAGAAGAATCTGTTGACGTCATCAGAACAAAAAGAAATGCACAGGTTGATCAGTGAAGTCAAGATAAATCTCTTTGTTTCCATCTAACACAATAAAACATCTCTGCAAAGCTCGTTAGTCTCAAATTTCTAACGTCTAAAAATTGATTCTCCTCCAGTAGAGACACGACGTTCAGAGTTAAAAAGGCAGGAAGTGAAACTCTATTATCAGGGTTCAGTCTCTGGAGGAATTCTGGGAGTTCACTTTAATAACTCGGTTTTTTCTGCTGCTGAAACAAAGACGTTCAGATGAAAACACAAATGTTCCCGTGGACTGATTCTGATTCTGATATTTTCAAAATGATCAACTTTAAACATTAGTTCATTATTTGAACCCAATATGGGTGAAGTTATATCAAAGTTTGTTTTCTTTCTAATACGTTCACACACACACACACACACGTTAAATAACGAGCTGTTTCTGTCCATGTCGTTCTGAGCAGAGCTGCAGACATTTTTAGAAAAATATTATTTTAAAAATCAGAGCTAAACTAGAAACTGTAAGTAATTATTAGTTAAACCCCGCCCACCTCAGTTCCTGTTGTCATGGCGTTTGGACGGGGGAAGCGATAAACGATTATTTAACGTGTAAATGAATCTGAGGGATCCTTGGATCAACTTTAAAACTGATTAGATCTTCAAACGTCTTGTTTTGTTCTTGAAATCTTAGAAATGTGAACTTTTCATTAGGACTAAAAAAGCAGGAAAGCCTCTTAAATCGGGGAGGGGGGTGTTGAGATGGGCGGGGCCGTCTCCTGTCAATCATCACTCATCATCACTGTCGTGTATAAAAACCAAAGAAGGTGAAAAACTCAAGGACCAAATATAAGTGGAGAGTAAAGAGTCTTGAGACCGAAGCTCTCTGATCATCATTGTTTCTCATTATTATTAATACTGAAAGTCTGATTCTCTCAGTCTGTCTGAGTCCAGGTCTTTAGACCCTGAAGTTCAGGACCAACCAGTGTTGTCGGGTCAGAGTTCTCGTTCTGAATCAGTACCTCTGGACTCTCAGGGCAACAAACACAAGCAGCTCATTCATCGTTTTGAGTGTGGAAAAAAAAAAAGTGCAAATTAAATATCAGGCCAGGCCACGAGCTCTGGTGCAGATGAAGACCTCCGATCTCCTGACCAACACGGGTCCTGTCAGCTGGTCACCAGTTAACGTGGTGGAGATGAACTCTTTGTAAGAGAAGCATTTTCAACACTTTCACTGGATTCGCAGAGAATTAGTCCTGATGTCAACAATCAGACGTGTTTAGAGAAAAGCGAGCCTGCAGCTCGAAGGACTTCAAACCAGATTTCTGGAGCTCAGAGGAGTTCATCTGTGACCAGGACATTTGGCACAAACACAAAAACAAAGACCTTATGAAACTGAACCCAGTACCGCTCAGCAAATACAGTGACATTCTCTCAACAGCCTGTTACCCGGATTCTCTCTGGACCTTTGTCCAGTATTTACAGAGTTTGACCACTAGGCGTCAGTGTTTCCGTTCTCCTCTGGCTGCAGCTGCTCCTTCTCAGTGCAGTCGTCCTGGGGGGGGCGGACTCTCTTAAAGAAACCCAGCTGAGAAGAAGAAGAAGAAGAAGAAGAAGATCACAGTCACATGTTGAGTGTGGGGGGGGGGGGTCGAACAGAATCAAACTTCTGCTTCAATAAATAAATGTAAGAAACAGTTTCTGCCACATGATGAACTGGACTCTGTCCCACAGAGTCTCTGTGCCACAGAGTCCTGGTCCCACAGAGTCCTGGTCCCACAGAGACCTGGTCCCACAGAGTCTCTGTCCCACAGAGTC